AGAGAAAGAGAGAGAGAGAGTCTCTCCCTCACTTGCACCAGTCTGAGGTTACAGAGACACCAAGGTGCCCTGGTGGAAATATGCCTCTTAGATTTGTGGGATTCAGTTTATATTTTATGATTTTAGCAGGGAAGCTCTTCCTGCACGGCAGCACAGACGAGCTGCCAGAGGATCATCTCCTCCAACCGGCCCGGCAGGAGTCCTCTCTGCTGAAGCCCACAGTGCTGATCACCATCCTTGCACGCAATGCACAACACAGCCTCCCTTACTTCTTGGGCTGCATTGACAGACTGGACTACCCAAAGGACCGTATTGTCATCTGGTAAAATTAAATTAATTTATTGCATTGATGATGATTGTGTTGATATATCTGCAAAAAGTAGGAAAACATTTAAGTTTTGGTTTAGTTTTTTTCTGTAAGGAGTGGACAGTTACTAATGAAAATGTGATTTGATTTAGAGAATGACCATAAAACAATAAACAAAGAGAAAGAAAGAAAGAAAGAAAAGATAAAGTCAGTGTTCAGTAATGTTCATTGTGATCTCAGGGCAGCCTCTGACCACAGTGTGGACAACAGCACAGCCATGCTCCAGGAGTGGCTGAAAGGAGTTCAACACCTGTACCACTCGGTGCAGTGGAGGCCCATGGAGCAACCGAGGTGAATCCCCACTACAACATTAAACAATGTCTCTGTGGCAGCAGCTCCATTTATAATGCATCCTGATGCCGTTTAATCAGTTTTAATAGATTCATAGTAAACCTGATATCCTCTGATCTACTGACTGTTTCTCTCTTTCTTTCAGCTCTTATGCAGACGAGCAGGGTCCCAAACACTGGCCTGACTCTCGGTTCATCCATGTGATGAAGTTAAGGCAGGCAGCACTCGGAGCTGCCAGACGACTGTGGACTGACTACATATTGGTGAGACAGCAAAACACCATAAAGGACAAAGAATCAAGTATTTCACCACTCTGTCCTCTAATAATATCTCTTCTTTGTTCCTCAGTTTGTGGACAGTGACAACTTGCTGACTAACCGCCAGATACTATCAGACATGATAGCAGAGAATCTGACAATTGTAGCACCCATGTTGGAATCAAAAAGCCTTTATTCCAACTTCTGGTGCGGCGTGACTCCAGAGGTAAGATTCATTAGAGAGCAGAACAAATAAATAAGGAATATAGTGTATTTCCTCTGCAGGAAAGTGATTGTTGTGGGTCTGCTGATGTGCAAAGGGCTTCTACAAACGAACCCCAGAGTATATTCCCATCCGTAAATGGAAGCGGCAGGGCTGCTTTGCAGTCCCCATGGTGTACTCCACCTACCTGCTGGACCTGAGGCGCAGAGCCAGCCGAGCCCTGGCCTTTTACCCTCCTCACCCCCACTACCCCCACCATGTAGATGACATCATGGCCTTTGCTTTCTCTGCAAGGCAAGCAGGTCAGACCTTATGTCAACTCACTCATTTCCCTAATTGTATATATGTAAATAACTGTATGTATTGTTTATTCTATTTTATTCATCTTTTATGTTATTCTATGAATTTGATTCTCTTTTTTATGTAATGTAGCATGAAGGAACTACAAACTTTCATTTCATTATACAGCATTGTGTGTTGTAAAATGTCCTTAATTACTTGAATTTGATGATAGTCATTTGGTGCACATAAGTTAGCTGACAAGTAAGTTCAAAGAGTAAGAACTATATAAGCTTTACTAAGCTAGATTGAAATAATTGGGAGTCACTTTTGAGATATAGAAATCCAACATAAAGAGTTTTAGAGAATAATTGAAAGATTGAGCAATTTGTGTTAAATTACTTCCCATATTAGTGATCTAGAGCCCCTTTTCGGAGGTATTCATAGGGTGAGAATGTTGTAAATTATTACTTTCAGTGTCTCTTTATCCACATCAGTAAATACTGAGCTTACACAAATGTTAATCCTTATGTGCAGCATTCAAGAATTAATGCAAAAATTAAATTACACTCCATTTAGGCATTTGGATTTTTTTATGTAAAAAAGAGGAAAATATCAATAATTAACATCTTTACTGAAGTATACCTTTATCTTTATAAGTATTAAATTAAAATAATAGTTACTATATCATATAAAATGTAGTAACATTAGTTTTGCTTATTAAGACATCACTTATATGCATATAATATATTATTGCATATATAAATATTAACTTTATTACCACTCTCCTTAATAACAGCATAATAATATCACTTTATAACATGTGTGTCTTATTTTCTTCTCATACCATATGGTATCCATTAGAGGTGAAATCTGTCTGCCACTGTATTTCAAATAATGAAAAGACTTGCACTGAGACCTGATGTGTCTGCACCACTGCAGGAGTTCAGATGTATGTGTGCAACAAGGACCATTATGGATATTTACCAGTGCCCCTTAAACAAGACCAGACACTGGAGGAAGAAGAGGAGAGTTTTACCCACACACTGACAGAGGCACTCAGTAAGATCTTTCTGCATATATTTGACTCTATAACTGACAGTTTAAAGGCTCTCTATGTTCTCATCTCACTGTACCTTGGCCTGTATGAGCATATTTGGTCCTTTTTGCTCTCACAGTCTTGACACATGTCTCACTCCTCTGTAAAAGCCTAGTGCCTCTCATTTCCCTTTCTGCCTCTCTTATTTAACCATTTCACATAAGTTAGATGTTGAACCAATGTAAGAAATTCCCTTGAAACCAAAGGACTGGACTAGAAAATGCAAATTTACTATATCTCGTGTGAAATGTGAATGTGTGACCTTACTTTCTAGTTGCCTATGACGTGGAGCCCTCACAGTATATGCACACTGCACCTAAAGAACTACGAAAGATGGGATTTAATGAGGTAAAGATAGAGTTAACTAAAGTGATATCATCCAGTTATGGAGTGCTGTTCTGTTAAGTCTCACTTTATTCTCTTCCACTTCTAGATCTTTTTGATTAATCTGAAGCGCCGCTCAGACCGGCGAGAAAGGATGTTGAGCACTTTGGCCGTCCTCGGCATCAACACCACACTGACAGAAGCCGTGGATGGCAAGTATGACAAACTGTACAGTAACAGTTCTCATTATGTGGTGAGGGAGGAAACATTCAGATGCTTTAATTAAGTAAAACTGGTCTTACCACAATGTAACAACACTCCATTATAAGTAAAGGTCCTGCAGTCAAAGTTTTACCTACATAAAAGTATAAAAGTATTATCAAATCTTGCATCAAAAGTAAAAGTAGTGCATATTTCAGACTGTTGTTTATGTCATATTAATGGATAATAATAATATTGATGAATCTGTGTTATAGCTGGTTGAGGTGAAGCCAACTATAACTAGCAGACAATGCAATTGTAACTCAAGGCCCATTTACTTGCCTATTCTAGAGTTTTTGACCATCAAACAGTCATCAATGGCAGATTATCTAGTCTAGTCAGGTGACCAGAGACATGGAAAGTTTAAACATTTGCATTTCCATGGCAACTGAGCAAAATCAATCTGCTGATGTGTGATATATAGGCTCCAGAAAAAGCAAGCAAGTGGACGTTGAGTTGATATAGTTTTGTCAACTGCTGTTTCAAAGTTCAGCAATGAACTGCAGAGCTCTATTTATTCTCTAACAATGAATCACGTTTTAAACTGTAAGTACATCTAATGTTTTAAGGTAAAATCTTGATCTGCAAAGTAACCACTGACAGATAGAGTACATTTGACTGATGTGATGAATTAATGTGGTGGAGCTTAAAATGGAAACACTCAAGCAGAGTACTGGTGCTTTGCTACTTTGCTCTACAACTCTCATTAAGCTCTTACTGTGATATGTAACTAACACCTGATATTATCAATTGTAAGGATGTATTACTAGTCTCAATTAGAGAACACACAAACAGAATATTTGTGTATAGTTGAGGTAGAAGTTGACAGTAGAAATGAGGCCTCCCCTGTCAGTAAACATGTAGCTGACTGTGATTATGAGGATATTTGCTTGTGTTGTCCACAGAGCCTTGAACTCCTCTCAGCTGCTGGCTATGGGTATAGACATGCTGCCTGGGTACAAAGACCCATATTCAGACCGCGTGCTGACTAGAGGGGAGATTGGCTGCTTCCTCAGCCACTACAGCGTCTGGAAACAAGTACAGCCTTACTCTGAGACTGTTTTAAACAATACTTTGATGCTGATGTGGCAGTATGGCAGTTTCACTGTTATTGCTGTCATGTGTCGCCCCCTAAGGTGGTGCAGCAGGAACTGCAGCAGGTGCTCGTGCTGGAGGATGATGTGAGATTTGAGCCCAGCTTTTGCAGCAGGCTGGTGACTATCATGGAAAATGTGCAGAGAGTGGGACTCGAATGGGACCTCATGTTAGTGAATTATTGCAGTTTTTGTGTCATGTTTCGTCTGTTGAGCACCACAGACCTTTCACTTGCCTTTCTGTCCCTATGCAGTTATGTAGGGCGTAAGCGGCTGCAGGTGAAGGAGCCAGAGTTGTGGGTGAAAGGAGTCAGTAACCTTGTGCACCCAGGTTACTCCTACTGGACCTTGGGTTATGTCCTTTCACTGAACGGGGCCAAGAAGCTCCTTCAGGCAAAACCCCTGAACAAAATGCTGCCTGTTGATGAGTTCCTACCTGTCATGTTCAACAAGCACCCCAAGTGAGTCTCACTATACTGTGAACATATCAGTGGTGGAGGAAATCTTCAGGTCTTTTAATCAAGTAATAGTAGTCCTAATAGTACAAGTCCTGCATATACAATCTTGCTTAAGTAAAAGTAGGTAAGTATAATCTGGTAAAAGTATTAAAAGTAAATCTACTAATGGTGAAAAGGCTCCCCTGTGGCTATATGTATATATATATATGTTTGTTTTGTATTGGTTTTTAATTTTATAATTATTTTTTTCTATTAGATTAATATGGATTTATGTATTAATCTGCTGATTATTTTCCCCATTAAGTCAATTTCTTTGGATTGTAAAAATTCAAAAAAACAATTCAAAATGCCCGTTACAATCATCCAGAGCCCACAGTGACACCTCACAATGCTTGTCTTGTCCAAACAACTGTACAAAATTTAAAATACATGTAAATAATTAAAAGGAAAAGCAGCAAATCTTCACATTTGGGAAGCTGGATTCATGTTCCAGCTCCAGCAATGTTGCATTTTTACAGAAAAATTGCTTCAACAATTATCATAATAATTTTCTGACTTAATTGACTGATGCTTCCAACTCTACTTGAATATACTGGTGAGTATCATCATATTTTATAAGCACTTTAATTGTTATGGATTAAAAAGTACAATATTTCCCCATGAAATGTAGTGGAGTAGAAATATAAAGTAGCATGAACACAACATACTAACTTAAAAGTAGACTACTTTAAATGTGTACATACGCTACTAAGTCACATTCCACCACTGATATATTTTAAAAGCTTTGAGTAGCAGTGTTTTGTATTCAGTCTGAAGTCATTATATTCCACCTGCCTCTCCCTTCAGAGACCAGTACTTGCAGTATTTTGATCAGAGGGACCTGAGAGCATTTTCAGTCGAGCCTCTGCTGCTCTTTCCCACACACTACACCGGCGAGCCCGGCTACTTCAGCGACACAGAGACCTCTACCATCTGGGACGACGAGGCCGTGGACACAGACTGGGACAGAGATGGAGCCAAACACAAGCGTGGGCAGGAAACTGAGGATGTAGGTTTTCGACCTGTGGCTCCTCACTCTGCTCGTGGTGGCGTGCCCCCCCTCTCTGCCAGTGGAAACCGAGATGAACTCTGAGGGGGGACTTATGTCATGTTACACACATTTTGTGATATAATTAAATTGTTATAACAAGAAAAGTTCCTAGTAAAAACTAATTTGGAATATAGTAATAGCAAGAAAATGTGTCATTACATTGACATACATACACCTAAAATATTTTGTAGAATATAATGGATTTTGTTAAAATGACTAACTTTTTACATTGTAATAAGAAACTGAACACATATTTTTGGCAGCAATATGCAAATATAAAAAAATACAATATTGCAATTTTGGAGCAGGTCAAGAAAAGGAGCAGAGCTAGCATGTAATAGAGACTAGCCCTAAATGGATACTTGGATTATATAATACAGCCCCAGTTAAAGTTCATTACTGTCACTATCATTCAACAATGGCACTATCAATGGAACCTCACTTATATATATTTTACTGACTTTATTTTTGCCTTATTGCCAAATGAAATCTTTTTAATCCCGGTTCCAGCCATGTAAGGCACTTTGAAACTTTGTTTCTAAAAGTGCTGTATAAATAAAGTTTATTATTTTTATTATTATTTAAAGAGTTTCTTTAGGATTATGACCTACAGTTGAGATTCAGCTCCACCACTTTGTGCTCTTCAAATAAACTGATTTCTGTTGATATCTTATTAAGGCAGGCATGTTTCCTTCCTGTATGTTCTTATAGAAAAAGATGAACACAGCAATCAACTTAAGGATTTTTATTTTAAAAAAAAGCACTGGTATTCTCATGTCAAGCAAACAATGGAACCATTTAATATTAGTACTGTTCCATATCACAAAATGAGTTATGAAAAGAATAATTAAACCACACAAATGATACATTTTTTGGAATAAATTAATCAGCATAACAAAAGAAAAAAACATGCTTGTACTTAGGTGTTGAACAGGAAATATTGAAACTCCAATGCTCAAAATTGAAGACACCTGAGAATATAAATATCAAAACAGCTTGTTGCAGCAATTTAGTTCCACAGTTCCTCCTTAACTAAAGCTTTGATAAGAGGATTTTTAAAAATTACATTAATGTAAAAATTAGGCATCAATTTAAAAAACATCCGTATCTGTACAATGTGCATATCTGAATTAGTGTGGTGACAAGAGAAATTATCGCATCATTATTTTTTTCTCAGCGAGGCAGCACAGCAAAAAATAAACCCAAAGTGGATATCATCTGTCATCAAGCCACATTCAGTGATATGAACAAATAGATTTGGACTGAGCTCTTTCAGTTGTAATCTGCAGTGAAGTGACAGTCTAAAGATATTTCCTTTACATTTTATTAAACCTTTTAAGCCTCTGCCCGAGTCTTTCCCTTGGTGACTAAAATCCCTGCGGGGCTTTAATGACAAGGGCTGCAGGATTTATCCAGTAGGTTCATTTGCTACTGTCAATCAACAACAGAAATTCATTGAGGCAAGGAAAAAGAAATTCTGCTGTCACACAGGTAGTAGTGATGTTGCATATAAAGACAAGATAAGGACACGGGTACACAACAGACCATCTAGCTGATATAAACACATTTCTGAAATCCAAGGCTCAGTGACTTTATAGGAATTTCTGAAAGACAGGTTGGATGGATTTTGTACAGACACCGCAAAAAAAAGAAGAAAAAATCTGTGAGGTATGTTCTTATTGTGATATTATAGCTTTGAGACCCGGACAGAGTCTGTGTGAGAAGACACTCGTCTGTGAGGAGAGACAGGAGGGAATATGTCCATTTGAAAACGTAAAAAAACAAGTATATTGTGTGTGTTCTTGTGATAAACAGTCCATGTGTTCAAGGTTACTGCCAGCAGCAACCAAAAACTGTCAACAGATTGAACCTCTGAAGAAATAGTGTGTACAAAATTTTTTTCAAAGCACTGCATTCCCTCCAATGAGTACAGCTCCCATTAAAATGAGATCAACAGTGAAATGGTATACGGAGATGGTTTGACAGATGAATGAGGAAGACATCTGCGTCTTTCGCTTTGATTTTAGTGTGGAGGAGACAAAGTCAACAGATCCGGAAACACAAACGAAAGCGTGTTTTCCGTAAAGAAAAAACAAAACACAAATTCCACAACAAGAGATGGCCTGAATGACTAAGCAAACACACACAGAAAAAGAAAACCCAAATAAGAACAGCTACCCAGTTCTTTTATCACGCGTTCTAAAGCACTTGGACAAAAAGGCAGTTTTACAAACCATTGGCTATCAACACACTAGCAAAGTTCCACAGTGCTTGCTTGTAGAAGCCTAGTAACAGTGCAAGCTATTACACTATTCAGCAAAATACACCTGCAAGAAAAAAGTGCCATATTGCATAATGAGTATCTGTAATGACCCCTTAAGAGGGCATATATACCTATACAATGATCAAACTGTAAACATGGTGCAAAGTAGTTATGACATAGTTTAAGGCTTTCAGATCTTCCTGAAGAAATGTTGTTCTCTGAGATAAAGGAATACGTCCATGAGCTGGACAAACAGTGTGGAAACATAGAAGAAAAAAAAAAAAACAGATTCAAACTCTCTATAATCAGACCTGGACACTGTACGTACTCAAATAGATTTTAAACCTAAATTACTTGAGGTTTGTTTGATTCAGTTAAAGGTTAGTTCGGTTTTGAGTGATTATTCCTTTAATACACAAGGATTATTGAACTTTTTGGCATAGAAGAATGTTTAGGAGCCAGTTTTTCTCAAATGTACTGAGCAGGTTCTTAACAAATACTTTCTTTTTTTCATTTATCACAGTGGACATTTCGACTTGTCAAACACAATGCAACTGACAACATTATTAATGGTTGCATCCTGTTAATAAGTGCCTGCCTCCTGGTATTGTGCATGCTGGTCCAATGCCACACCTACATAGAATAGAGCCATCATTCATTTTATTTGTTGCACTTGTTCGTTTGCTGCTTTGACAAGTGAAAATGTCAGCCTCATTAAAGGGATTAGCTTTACGGGATGGCAGACTGACACCCATCCAGGAAAATGGTTCTGTTTAATTTACTTTTAATAGTTTTTATGCCAATTTTGATTGACATACAAATAGTTAAAATAGAAATTTGTCTCAACGCTACATGTGAGACTCTTTATCTGCTGCTGAAACTCAAACCGTGTAAAGAAACACCTGGCACACCTGATCCTGAAACGCATTCTGCTGTCTGGCACACCCCAATGAGTGTGGTGAATGCTTTTACTTTGAAGCAGACTGAAAGTCAAGTTCAACTCATGTTGTCTTTTTTCCCCCCAAAAAATATTTTGATACCATTGCATACACACTTTTCCCAGTTCTGTCTCTAACAAAAATGTAAATAAAAACACATACACACGACACTCTCTGGGAATGCCATCCTATCAGGCGTATACTGTCACCCCTAATATAAGGACTACAATTCATCACATGTATTAATTCTGCTGCTAGTAGCATTACCAGTTTTCTACATTAAAAGCTTAAAGCTTATATACATTTGCATCAGTATTAGACATAATACTACTGTGTATTATGTGTCAGCAATTCATGGATGATAACTGATCTAGACTTTAGGATGGCATGCAAACTGCTCTTCTACAGTGAAGTTTGATCCATTTTCTGGCAAAAAATTAATATTTAATCTATAATTAAACTGAATATAAAAGAAAAAATATTGACAATCACCTCAATGGTGGTTACTAATGCAATAAAAATAAAGGAATGTGTCACCATTAAAACTTTTATATGGAATCAGCAAAGCTAAAAAAAAAAACCCAAAAAAACCCCTAAAAGACTTCTAGTCACTGCCTCGCTACCTAACATCACAATATTGTGCTACTCATGGTAAATAAATGGTACAACAACAATCTACAAATTAACCACAAGAAAACAGAGGAGTTTTGGCTGATGATGAATGTGCAGAATTTTACAGAAAATGTGAAAAAATCCCTGCATTTTGTGAAAGTGTTTCAGTTTGAGATAATGAGGTTATTTTTAGGGTTGGGTTGATTTTTTTTTAAAGTTCAAATCTGCTTAATGATTCCCGTTCTAATCGAATCCTGAGTGAGGAAAGAAACCAATGTGTGAAGAAAGCAAAAACACATTTATTTCCATGAAGTTCAGGCTGCCATAAACATGTACTAAATGACGGCCTGTTTAGTGATTTCTGTGTTGTTGGTTTAAAAAAAAAAAGACAAATATAATTATTCTCTGTTGTGTCCTGTGAAAGTTTAAAGGTTTTACATTAGTTTTTACTTTCTGCGGCATTAAAGCCCAATAATAGTGTCGTATTAGGCAATGTTGCAAATCAACAAGCAGGACAGCCTTATGGCATATTTGACTTTTTGCATCAATGTGATGAAGTACCTTGATTTTTCCTGTATTTAATTCAGTGGATTCACCAAAAACAGACATCCCCATCTGGTTATTTGATCTATAAAAAGTTTTCACCGTTTACGGTCACTATGTCATGATACAGGACACCAAAAATGCTGCATTCTTATACCATTCTGTAGTAAATGTGTTGTCATATTAGACAGACTTTCTTCCCTTGCATGTATTTATTTTTTTGCAGTGATTACATTCCACTGCATCATTACGGTCTTTAGCAAAGCGTAGCCACACGTTTGAATGCCAGCTCTGGTCCGTCATATTGTAAACATTATACACGTGCTTTGCGACACGTGTAACCGGCAAAGGAAATGAAGTGTGGTAGGTCCAAACTTTGCTTTCAGGAAACGTAACGTGGAATCGAAAAGCACATTTCTTAACGAACCCCCAGTTCTTACAGATTTGGAAAGTTCTCTATACCCAACCCTAGTTATGTTGAGCAGGTGGATAGTGGTCACATGACTCATCTGTGTGGATGGAGAGATGAGGCTACTTCCCACCCACATCCAGCTGTGTGTGTGTGTGTGTGTGTTGGCATGTGTACGTGCGTGTTATGTGCACACTTGAGTATGCTATATCCTAATCAGTGGATCTGATTGTTGCTGGTTAACTTGAAACCACCATGACCCTTCTGTGCTCCTGCCACGCCAGCCCAAACCATCCTAATGGTGCATGGCTGGGCTGAAGGAGGAGGGTGTGCCCTTGTTGCGTCCCAACATGGAAGGCTGGAAGTCCGGATGACGGCGGGCGTGCTTGATCAGGTGGTCGCTGCGCATGAAGCGCTTATCGCAGAGCGGGCACAGGAAGCGCTTTTCCCCCGTGTGGGTGCGTGTGTGGCGGGCGAGCTCATCCGAGCGGGCGAACTTCTTCTCACAGTCGGGCCAGGTGCATGGGAAGGGCCTCTCACCTGCAGCATGGAGGCAGAGAAGAAGACCATTTCAAGTCACACAGGGTTTACAAGCATGCGTAGCATTGTTCTGATGACTGACAGTAAAATGTATTTAACACTTGGGAGAGGAGACGGAGACACTTCTCCCGTCACCCACTGACACATCACTTCTCCATTCTATACAGCCAACAACAAACCATTGTTGCACCGATACATCAACGACAGAGCAGGCAAAATGTATTATTTTCATTATTGATTAATCTGCAATCTCCACACAAAGCAGCAAACACTCACACTCAAACGGTGAGGAAACACTAGACAGTTGTGCAAATTAGCTTGAAAAATTGCTCAATAATTGATTATCAAAATGGTTCCTGATTAATTTTCTATCAACCAATTAATCAATAAATTGTGGTGTGTGTGTGTAACAGCTGTGTAGTCCATTTTACTGATTACTGTTTCAGATGTGGTACCTTAAATGACAACCAGGCATGGTGCTTAACTTCCTACATTAATGCAATTTAATGACTGCATTTTATGGCCTCTTTGTTTTAATGAGTTCCTATAAAATCATCTGCTTTCAAATTCACAATAATGGGCAGAATTTTTTTTTATTTGCTTACAATTTGTCATTGCAAAAAAAAAAAAGTAGAGAATTAATACTCCTCTCTACATCGTTAAATACGTGACAAAGCATATCTAGGATTTAGATCCTTCAGATTAGTCTCCCTAAGATACTACTAGCCTTAATCTCTCGCAGGCAACACGAGTAAAACCTGGATAAGCGAGTAGGATGCTCGGAGCCATTTTTAAGATCACAAAGCCAGGCCACGTTGTTGTTGCACTACTCTTTGTGGGCGTTCCCACCACAGAGCAGTTTCCTGTCCTTAATCCGTGTGCGCCTGCTCAGTGACCCTGAACACACCAATTCCCCTCATTTCGCGGAAAAAAAGAAAAATCACATGCACACTGCATTGACTCAGTAGTGGGGCTCCGCTGTAGTCCTGATAGGTAGGCGTATTTCCAGCCACGTCTAGCTCTAGCACACTGTTAATAATACACGGTTGGGGGGTTTATAAATCGGATTGTGAAGTGATTCCTCTGCAAACGCACAACACGCAACAAATGTGTAGATTATCAGACATATGGGTGGTGCAGCCATTATCGGACGCGCCTCCTCCTCCTCCCACTCTTCAGTTCAACTCAAAGAGGCTTTATGGCGTGGGCAAACGTTTTATCGATAGTTTAACACACTGCGCGGAGTAAAGTCGATTTGAACTCGTCAGCAGACGCCTGTATGAGGAGGTGATGTCCAGAGAAAAACTACCAAAACAGCAAGTGCTGCTGCCATCCACAGGACAGGCTGTGACCGACAGTGAACCCGCTGCCCTCGACGTTTAGGTTTCGTCTTACGTTCATTTCATATGCAAATACAGTCGGAGGAAGACCTTCGTCACCGGTTTTAACGTCCAGCCCAGTTCTTTTGTTACTTTACTTCTTTGTCAGAGTCTGAAGGGGAGTTTTCCTGTCTCTCCCTCTTTGTTTGGCCACGTTATTGTAGCAAGTCGGGGGGTAAATGGGGAATAAAACTGCCACCACCACGCTGCTTTTAGCTAATCCCATAAAGTTGTTGAGCTCCCCTCCTGTATCTGTATATAACGCTCACATACTCACAGCGTGGCCGCGCATCATGTCAGCGACACACTGCTGGTTTTAACACCACTGTTGTAGTCTCCATACCTGTGTGTGTCCGGATGTGTGCCTTCAGGTGGGACGATTTCCCGTAAACTCTGTCGCATCCGTCAAAAGTGCACTGGTGTCGCTTCACCGGGGAGCGCGGGGCCCCCACGCTCCCCTCCTCCTCCTCCTCCTCCTCCTTCTCAGCTGCTGTCCGGGCACCGGGGTGGCGGAGGGGGTCATGGTAGGGGTGGTCGGGTCGGACAACGTGGTGTAGCCGCTCTCTCCACCACACGAGGAGTTGCTGCTCTCCGAGTAGGCCGACATGGGGCGGAACTTCCCGTGCAGGTCGGTGAGGATACCGGCCACCGCCATCATGTTCGCCCCCTCCAGCCTCAGCGTCTCCCGCACTTCCCTGTCCTCACTCGACCCGTCGGGCTCCCCGGGGAGCAGGCCCACCGTGGCCGGCTGGCTGGCGGGGGCGACCGGGGTGGGTCTGTGCAGGACAGCACCGCTGGATATCGACACCAGACACTCGGCAGCGAAATAATCAGAAGAAGCAGTCAACGACATTGTTATCTGCCTTGTTCTGTCGGCTTTAGAAAAAAGAAAAACAACGAAAAGAATCCGCCAGGAGGAGCTAACGGCAGTCTGGTCCCGACCTCGTTTTCATCAAACTCGACGAACCAACCGTTTCCAACTGAGCCTTGTTACCGCCATACAGTGTATCAGTAGTTTGGAAATGGCTCCGTAAATCAGAGAAACGGCACAATTGCGGATAATAATGTGCTAAAACCGTGCCAAAGCCTCTGGCCCAACATGCGTGCCTCTCACAGTCTGACGGTTCATTGTGTCTGAGCCTCCGAGAAGCCGGTCAAACCTACGCCCCCTGGTCCCGAATCAGGGTGCGTTCACGGCCTGGTTGGTAAAATCGGTTGGGAGGTGTTTAAGTCGTTACCTTACTTTAAAGCACTTTTACTTTGTTACTACAATCGATTAAGTATCCAGTTGATAATACATTTCACTCGCTGTCCTGCAGCAAATCACCAATTATAATATGAAACACAAAACAGATAATCTAGTATTTAGTTGTGTTCTTTAACTGTATTTTATAGAGGCATATATTACCTCAAAATCACAATCATCAGTATAATTGCTTTGTATTTTAGCACAGTAAAGCACACATTGTCATAATTAATGTAACAAACTAAGCTGCTAGTACTTCTTCATAACCTGAAAGCTTGGATGAAAGCGGGTTAACGGTTTTTTGCCCGAAGGGAGTTCTGAAATACAATTGTTTCTGTGTACCTGAATGCAGCCTCAGCCAGCAGCACGCAGTGACTGACGTCGTTGCACGGGCGTGGACCGCGGCGGCGGGTGCATCGTGGAAAGTAGGTGGGAGCTTGTGTAATGATGGGGGAAGGAGATGGGGATGAAAGGCGTGTTGGGTAAATTGGTTTGAGCTCAGTCGGTCGGAGGCTGAAGAACGTGGCTGAGTGGTGGAGGGCTTTTTATTTCCCGTTTCTGCCAAATCTAGTTGTACAGAGAGCTTCCCCAGATCTGCACTTTAACAACTGTTTTTATCCATAAGTCACAGACACTAGATGTCTTTCTTCTTTCATGCTTACTTCTCTCAACTGTAGTTGTTTTACCTCGGAGCTTTATGAATCAGCTTTTAATAGATTAGAGTCCACACTGGTTGTGCGGCTTATTGATTATGGTCATTCTGACACTGTGTGTGTGTGTGTGTGTATCCTCAGATAATCTCCAAGTAAATCTAGTTTATTGTAGGACTGCACAGTTAATGTTTATATTATAGAAACAGCAATATGGCCAAGTGCAATATCCTTTTTTCTGACTCACCCCCACTGACTCTTAAACCCACCCTGTATATATTCTTTACATTATTGCACTTCCGTTGTTTGTTTTTTAAGTATCCGGCCACGTTGTACATATTTTCTCATTATTTGTATTTGTATTTAGTGGCTCCTTTTTAATGCCTCTTTTTTTAATCTTTATTTATATTTGTCTACGCTTGATTGTGAGTCTTATGCACCAATGTACCAAGGCAAATTCCGCAATAAACCTGATTCTGATAAAGGTAAACAGCATTATAATGAAGTACTGTAGTGCTGCAGAGATATCCTGCTTAGCTACAAATCTTCTCTAGAAGAAAGACAACATATATGTTTGGGACACACAACAAATGTCACATCAACATGATTGTAGAAGTTTTTTTTTTCAGTGAAAATTAACATTGTGATGTGACAATGATCATTCCCAATAATAGTCAACCATATCCTAATTGCAGTATCTGTCAAAAATTGCAACATATATACATATATATATGTTTACCATATTGTGCAGCACTAATTTATTGTTGAGGTAGCATACACACTTATAATTTGTCATTATTACAGGCGTTATTATTGTAGTTCTATACTATCCTGTGTTGTTGTTATGTTGTCCACCCCTTTATAACGCACCTATTCCTGCAGAGAACCTGTATGTGTCAGATATGGATATTATGCTGCAAGACTGGCAGCCTTCAAACTGTTTAACTTTACTGCAATAAACTGAATTTTCTCTCCATATGTGGCTCATGTCTCTTATGTCTGTCCAAGTTTGGGGGTGTAAGAAAACTTTTTGTGAGGCCTGGTGCTGTGTCAAGTGATTGGCTCAGTGAATGTTTGTAGCTTCAGCCTGGAAGGTATTTCCTGATTGGTTGCTGTGAGCACTATGGGTCACTGTGGAAGCCCACGTACAAACGTGGTCATTCAGTGGCTGTGAACACTGCTTGGTTTTCATCTCGCATACATGTGGAGGCTTAGAGGCAATCAGATCTGCAGTGACTTGGGGTTGCTATGGCTATGTCCTTGTTACTGCTCAATTGTCTGCATGTTACACTCATTTTTCTCCTGATACATGGTGAGTTTTATGTTTTATGGCTTTTTGTTCTGAGCTGTATTCATTTGTGGTGTGTCATTGACTTGGCTTAGAGTCAAGATGATGCCTTTCAGTGTTAAGTATGGAGGTTTGGCTTTCTTTAAGAAAAGTTGAAAAAAGTTTTAGTCATTATATCTGATATTTTTGACCTGATTTTTTTATGCAGTAGGTGATTGCTTTCAGACGGAAACAAATCTCTGTGATTCAAGTTGTGCTGGTAAGAATACAGTTTGTTGCTTATATTGAATATAATGATAAACACTTAAATAATGAGACATTTTTTTTATGCAAGAATATCTGTAGAACAAAATTTCTGTCTCATTGAAACACTTTGTATCTTATGATTCATGTCCGTAGGGTTTTCTACCTCTGACTTGTCCTATCAGAGAGGGGTGAGGTATACTTACAGGTATAGCACAACAGTTACCACAATCCTTCATGGCTCCAATGCTGGCAGGAATGGACTGGCTTTGGACTGTGTGGTTGATATTGACGTGGTTTCCAAGTGTCACCTAATGATGCAGGTCAGCTTTAATACAAGTGTTTGTGAAAAAAAGTTCTATAAAGTATTGCAAAGAGTAAATGATTTATACACATGCTCTGTTCAACAGATTAGGAATCCACAGATAAAGCGTCTTTCCCCTCAGAAAGAACATTCTGTGCAGCGTTTAAAGAGCTTGAGGTAACATACAGTAGATTTCATACAATTTGGTGTGTTTTTATAAAGTATAGTTAATGAATGAATTGCCTGATTATCCCTTCATCTGCTCATTTATTTTGCATACATGCATGTGGATCTATCTGGTCTCTAGGTCTACAGCATTCTCCGTGTAAATCCAGATCATTTTGGAATGCTACAACTGTTTTTCCTACGAATGTGATACTCTGTTCAGATGCCCCACTTGTCTGTGTTCTCGGGTCTCGGGGGGCTCATCTGGTGTTTTTGTTTCCCAGGGAGTCACTGGAGAGAATGCGCCTCAAGTTCTCCCTCCAGGGTGGAAAGGTCACGGCCCTCTGTTTCCAGGAGGGGGAGCAGGTGTGGGCCCTCAACATTAAAAGGGCTCTACTGAGCATGCTCCAGACGTCCCGCACGGCCTACAAAAAGGGATTAGAAAAGGAGGTGAGGGTTGATGAGGGCTGTGTAATACATGCCCAGATTGCAAGGTGTGTAGATACAGCAGTCCCTCAGTCTTTATGGAGAATTCAATATAAGACAAGTGCAACTTCTCATAGTCTAAAAAAATACCACCTCTACTTCGGCTACAAACACTAACTGAATCACCTTGCCATAATTTAATGCATTGGGTAATTATCTGACTTTTATTTAATGCCTCTTTCTCAGACGGATGTATACGGGACGTGCACCAGCAGGTATGAGAGGAGAGGACCTGTACTTCTGAAGAGCAGGGATCTAAAACAGTGCCAACAGTCCAGGCTTGCAAACTTCTGGCCACATTCAGTATCTTTAACTGAAGATACAGTGAGTTTATACCTCCCTTTTTCTTTAAAATGTTTAGAATGTAAGGAAATGTGGCTACCACTGAGGACACTTACTTTTTCTATGGATTTTGGGTGTTTTTTTCTGGGAATTTAGTGCATGGGGGACGTTTACATATACAATTAAGAACAAACACATGGTGGTTATGTTATTGGCTAATTTCCATATTTTTAAATAAGACTACTTTTAGGTCAGATATATGTATAAATGATTCAACACTTCTCCAACTGAACTGTAGAAGTTTGAAGCATTTCGACCACCATTTTGCTTAATAAATAGAACAATCCAAGTAATTAAACACAAAATGGGCATGTCATTGTTAGAGCATGACCTCAATACTTCTAAAATCCTAGCTATGGCACCTGTGGTACTTTACGCTTGTAGATTCATTTCTTCTATTCTCTGGTATCTAAGTTCAAGAAAAGTGGAAGTAGAAAATGGGTGATGACGCTGTTTGCCACTTGAGATTTCCGCACCACTGAATAAGAGGAGTTCCTTTTTAGCCCACTATTATCAGTATTGGCTACATCAGCACTTTGGTTCAGTTGCATTTGATACATGAATATGTGATAGGAGGTATGTTTCTTGTCTTTCTGCTAGTCTGTGCAGTCAGAGCTGCACTGTGTTCAGAGGCATGGATCTACAGTGATGCAAGAGGTCAACTGTACAGAAGCTGTTTCCATGGCCACATGGTCCAGGGCTGCAGGGCTGGTGAAGACCCAAACAGTGTCGACCCTGCTCCTGCTCAGAGCCCAGCCAGGGACTCCTTCAGGCACTGGTCAGGAATAGTATTTACACTTAACACTGCAGTTAGTTACCCGTAGCAACTATACTGTTTTGCAGACATGGACCCTGATACCTGTTCTCCTCAATGCTCGTGCAGAGTCCTTAAGCGTTGGGGTGCTAACTGACCTGCAGTTTGAGGACGATGAGTCTTCAAGGCCAGGAAAATCCAGAGCGTCAACACCTCAGCAAGCCAGTCAAACTGTCAGGATGTTATGTAGCCTCACCTCAGACCCACAACAGGTAGGCCTCAACAGGTTCCAGTCAGCTTTCAACTGTATTTATCTGCAAAAAACACTTATTGTATGTTTCAGTTTACCCGCCTCACATTTTAGGTGTTGCAGTCCTTTTCAGGAACGATTATGAATCACTTTTAAGTAGTCCGTACCCTTCAAGTCGTGGCTTAATTTCCCCTGAGTTTTTGCTGTGTATGAGCCATTTTCTTATGTCTCACATACACAGGAGGTCAGTCAAAACTAATCTGGCAACCTTCATCGTGATCTGTTTACATAGGAGGTGTTTAAAAGAGGCTGTCAGACCCAGACCCTGACGAACTCTGTGATATAATTACTGTTTAGGGATCAGGTAATTGATGGGATGAAAAGGTCTGCAGGAGGCAATTGGTTCTGGTTGAGGAGTAGTCTGAAGGCT